ATTATTATTATTATTATAAAAAGACAATATTACTTATATTATTAAACAAAGAAATATTATTATTGTTATTATTATCATTTGTATTATTATTATTATTAATGTAATACCTGAAACTGTGCCCCATCAATGGTTGAGAAGTAAGTGTTTCATTGAACAAAGTACATACTCAAAGTGTCTCACAGAGAGATTTGTAATGAACCTTGTTGTCAATGAACCTGAGTCGTCAGTGACAGTTTAATCTTGTCCACAATTTGGTTTAATCTGTATTCGGGAAGAAAAGTCCTTAGTGCTTAGAGAAGTGCAAATGGTCCTGTCTTTCACCTTGAGATGTGCATGGGTACATACTCCTATATGTAATGTCTGTAAGCTGGAGTAAATAACATATGACTACTGATTTTGTGAATATATTTGCTGTAAATGTAGGACTGTTCATCCTGTGCTTCAAAATGACAGATTTGTCGCATTATTTACAGAGTATAGAGATGATACCCTTGACATTTTGTCCTGGACAAGAAAAATGCTGTGGAAAAAGTCAGCCCGCGGGACATGCTAACAACACTCTCCAGCTGGGAGTGGGAACAAGGTGTTGGAGTTTTTTTTTATGGAAAAGTGCCATCTCTCTTGCGTCATGCGGTGCAGTATAAAGGTGAGGATGGCAAAAGTACTTTGTGCTTGCTGTTCTATTTCTAATTGTTTCATTAGGCTCAAATGTCACCATAATGCACATTTTCACAGCCCAATAACAGCGACAGAAAAGTCAAGAGAGATGGAGAGAGTCTGAAAGCAACAATATGATGAAACGTCATGAAATTTCAGATTCCGGTAGTAATTGTCTTACTTTGCACGTCTGTGGCCGGCTGCCAGCGGTGGATGAGTGCCTGAACGAGTTAGCGCCTAAGCTAGCAAATGTGTGAAGGTGTCTCTCTCACCCTGACAAAAGAGCGTCCAATCAACCAGCCCTCCTCTCGGGCCTCTGCAAATGGAAATGACACTTGACCTCATAGCCTTGGAGGTCTGTCGGTTTGGCACGTATCCCAGCTGTGAGCTAATCGACGGGGTTTGCCTGATTTATCGTGATCAGCGCTTCACCTTAACTGGCCCTCACCTCACGGCACACTGCCAGAACTTTAGTTTACTTACACGGATGCTTTGAATCACAGCATGTTTAAAAATAAATAAATTAATAATAATAATAACAATAACAATTATTATTATTATTATTAAAATTAAAATTAAACCACAGCATGTGTTTTAAAGATGCAAGAATCAGTGCAAAGATTTCAGATCATTCCAAAAGTCAATTATAATAATAATGTTTTTTTTGTCTGTATTTATTAGTATTAAACTATAACAACAACAACAACAACAACAATAAATTGTATTAAAAAATATAAATATACAATATAATTGTATAAAAAAATAAGCCTTTTTAATTATTATTAATTTTAATAATAATAATGGTGATAATAATCATAATAAAAACATAATGATAGTCATCATTGTCATAATTTACTTTACAATAGTCCTAATTTTCTTAATTTATTTTTCTTGCTTTTGTATTTAATTCAATAATAATAATAATAATAATAATAATAATAATACATATTTTATTTAATTAGTTTTTTATTATTCAAATTATTATTCGTAATGAATTGTTTTATTATAAATATTATAACTAACTAACTAACTAACTAACTAACTAAATAACTAAAATAAATAGTATTTAGCATTTAGCTAGAATTTGAAATTATTTTTTATTAATTAATTGCTGATAGCTATATATTGCTATTCAGCTATTTTTAATCAGTCACTTTTTTTTCTGAATTTCCAGTGTCAGCTTTGGCATTAATCACTGAAAATTGCATGGTGGTCAAAAAACTACACTGAACGCAGTTTGACTTAATGCTACCCATTAACAAGTGAGTAAATCGGGTTGTCCTGCATGTTTTTGTGTGATCTCCATTCAATTTAGGACCAAGGTCAATGTGTGTTGAGTTTCTATCAGAAGGCAGTGAAGAGGGAGAGATTTCCTGACACTGCCAGCAGCTTTGACACACGTTCGCCCCCGTGTACAAACGCACACATGCCAGCAGCATTCCTGCTACGGGCCAAAATACCAGTAGCAGATGGTTTTCCACTGGAGCAGGTGGCTGGCATCGCAGTGCACCCATGCTAGAGCAGGCACAACCTTCATGAATCGTGAGAAAAAATGATTTCATTTAAATTTTTGTTCCCACAATCGTGCAGCTTAGGTAACACTGAAGAACATGTGACGTCAAGGTCATTCGTGACATAATCTCTGAATTATAAAACACTGTGTGGCTGTTCTCAGAGTTAAAAGCTTGTGGTTTGTACTGTACATGTCAGTTTGATTTTGGTCCATCAGTACGAAATGATGTACTTGCAGGAATTGCATTGCACTGGTTAGGGTTAATGTTTGTATTTTTATTTGATTATGTTGTAATTGTGCTTTAAACCATGAATGAATCTGACAGAAACAGAGGAAACAATCTGAGTTTTGAACTGACCTCCAAAGTAGGATCCGTCGGTGAGTTTCAGCTCTTTGCTGAATTTGGTGATGACGCTGGCCACTCCATGCTGAATGAAGTACATCTTTTTACCCACGGTCCCCTCGCGAATGATGTAATCGTTAGGCTGGAAGACCTCGAACTTTAGCTTACTCAGCATTCCCGTCACAAAGTTAGGGTCTGCGTTTGCAAACAGCGGCATGGTGGCCACCAGCTTACGACAGTTAAAGTTCACAATTTCCTGTCGGACAAAACAAGGAAAACACGATCAAAAGACATCAAACAGTAAAGAAAGAAAAATGCATTTACGCTTTTTTTTTTAAAAAGGGGTCATATGATGCGATTTCAATTTTTCCTTTCTCTTTGGAGTGTTACAAGCTCTTGGTGCATAAAGAAGATCTGTAAAGTTGCAAAGACTAAAGTCTCAAATCCAAAGAGATATTCTTTATAAAAGTTAAGAGTCAACCTAAACTCTACCTAAAACGGCTCGTTTAAACACGTCCCCACATGTCTACGTCACGATGTGCGAAGATTTGCTTTTTAGACCGATGAGCTTTGTAAAAATCGACACGTTTCAGAAAGGCGGGGCATACAGGAGAAACAATAATGTACAGTATGTGGAAAATAATGTTTTTTTAACCTTAAACCGCATAAACACATTTCATTACACCAAATACACAAAATAATGTTCTTTTTAGCAGCATCATATGACCCCTTTAACACAGTATTACAGTATTTGTGATGTTTTGCTTTTTTGTAGAACAATCTAAAATGTGTAATATAAACGTATTTATTTATTTATTCTTTAAAAAATATTTGATATGTATGTATTATCTATAACTGATTGTTGCTTAATTTTGCATTCACAATTTCCTGTGGGACAAAACGGAAAGAATACATACTCAACATACTCAACACACATAGAATAGGAAATAAATAAATACAACGCATTTAAGATAGCGTTTTTTTTAAAATGTAATATAAAGATGTAATATTAACAAAAACAAAACATTTATTTATTTATTTACTTATTTATTTAGGTTGGTTATTTATTTATCTGAATGTTTTTTAATATTAAATCAACAGCTGAATAGTAATGAAAAAAGTAAAACATTTAATATATTTGATATTTTGTGTTTTTAGTAAAACGACCAAAAAAGGTGTACTATAAATAAAACATGTATGTATTTATTTATTTTTATTTATTCATTTTATTTTTATTTATTCATTTTAATTTTTCAATTTATTTATTTGAATGTTTTTTGCTTTCTGACAATATTTGATATGTATCTCAATATTTATATCTGAAATGACAGGAAGGGTGTTTTTTTTATCACACTGTTGCTTAATTTCATATTCACAATTTCCTGTGGGACAAGAGAAAGAGAAAACAGTAAATGTTTAATTTATTTATTTGTTTGTTTATTTGTTTGTAAAACAGCCGAGAAAGGTGTCATATAAACAAATAATTTTAGTAATATAAATAACAAATAAAAATAGTTTCTTAATGTTTTTGCCTTCTGACAACATGTAATATGCATCTCAGTATTTATGTCTTAAATTATATATAATCACAATGTTGCTTCATTTTTAACTATCAGCAAAAACAAATATGTTGTGAATATTTAACATATTATTTAGTAGGGCTGGGCAATGTAAAAATGACTTTCTAAACTACAGATTTCAAAGGTTTTTTATTTATTTATTTTTTTTTACTTTTGCTTAGCTCTCCTCTGCGACAATCACCAGCCTCTATAGACTGTCTTCCCACTGCATTGCAGTGAGCTTATTTTATGGTGCCCATGCAGTCAGTGTCAAGCTCACTTCAGCCATTAGCTGAAAGCCTGATGCACATAATCTTCAGTCGTTCTTGTCTCCACGCTTCCGGGCTGAAGGATGTGTTTGTTTGGTGTGGCTTGGGTGTGAAGAATAAATTTGCACTGAGCTTTAAATCGTGGCATAGTCAGAAAAGCGTCAGGAAGGTTCTGACCGCAATCACACAGGAGGAATAATGAGTTTGATAGCCACGTCCAACCCTTTACCTCCACTAGGGAGACAAGCTGGAGACTTTATCTATTTAAAGCTGGTTTGTCACAAGGCGGTGCATGTAAAAATAGCCAACCGAGGGAAAGAGAGAGAGGGAGGGACGGAGGGAGGTGCTGCCGGGAGTTAAAGGTGTTTTGGGGATGATGCCGTCAGTGTTATCTCTCATTTTGCTGTGTCATAATAGACACTCACTCTGTCTGCTCAATCACGATGACATGAGTGCTGCATTCTTGATAATCTTAATACATTTCCAATGCATATGTCTACTGCATGCTAATTTTTTGTACTTGTAGAATATCTAGATGACCTTTAATATTTACCAAAATGTGCAGTATACTGTACAATAGAGCACATTGTGTTGGGTACTGTATCCCACAATGCAATGTGCTTGACCTTTCCATTTTTATTGTATAGAGGATTTCAACTATGCAGCATTTTATTTATTTTTGTAGAAATTGTGAAGAAAAATATTTATTTATTTATTTATGTTGCTGCCTTCTGACAATATTGAAGATGTATCTCAATATTTATTTTAAAAATGGCACTTTTAATCACAATTTTTAAGACAATTCAGGCCTTTAAGACAATATTTTTATTATTTTACAAAACAACCTAGAAGGGTGTAATATTTTTGTTTGAATATATATCCCAATACTTATTTATTAAAATGGAATTTTTTATCACAATATTTGTTATATTGTTAAAACACAATTGACAATTGAACTGTAATGCAAAAAGGTAATGTATTTAAGACAATATTTTTAATATTATGCAAAACAAGAAAGGTATCATTTATATTTATGTTTAATATTATACAAAATATTATGCAAAACACATTTGTAATATAAACCTAGAATTTATTTATTTGCCTTCTAACAGTATTTAATATGTATCTCATTATGTATATGTGAATTGGTGTCTTTTTTATCACAACATTAAGCATTGATTTCATGTCATATTGATTTCATTTTAATGGCGTACTTTCATATATTTAATTCAACACGCTGGGTGTTTTGTGTTGTATTCATGGGATATAATTCTGAGACTTACTTTTAATGTAATGTTGGTATGGAAATCATTACTTACTATTAAAATACCATATAAAGCTATTATATGTTATTTTAAAAATATATTTCATTATATTCAATCAGACATAGAGTAGATGTTAATCTTCCTTATGACATCATAAAAAACTAAAAAGTCTTAATTTGTCTATAAGAACATCAGCTGTGGCTGTTGGGGGGCTGACATCAGATTTTTATAACTCAGTCTAATATAAACTACCAATAACCTGACACAGCGTTACTGATACAGATGAGTAAATCTGCCATAAGCAGTTACTAGGGCTTAAAGAACTGTACGTGGCATTGAAATAACAGCGAAGTAGTGAAGATCTAAGATAAGATGTTTCCTTTCATATCCAGATGAAAGCAATTATTCGTCCAGACAGGGAGATTATCCTAGATCAGCACTTATTTTCTGAGATGCTTAGGTTGAAATGTTCCCGTGGCCGCATTAGCTCTGACCCTGGGTCAGCACTACTATGAGGTATTTGTGTCTCACCTCTTTGAGCGGGTCGTTGAGCTCGTTAAGGATGCTGTCCTCGTCGAAGATCTTTCCCTGGTAGCGATGTTCATAGTAATCGTGGATTTTCTGCCGCATGTCAGCTGGAAGCTTGTGGAAGGACATGTACTGCTCCACTTGCTTGTACTGTAAGAGAAAAAAAGTTTTGAGTAAAAAAAAAACAGCTGGAACTGATGCAAGTAAGCAAGACTCGTAGGAAATAATATCACAGTTGGTTCTCCTAGATTACAATTGAATTAAATGGAGGGCAAATGGAGACTTTTGCTTAAGGCGTGTCTTTTTCTGTCCTTTACTGTTGTTTCTTGTCAGATTGTACATTATGATGAGCCTGCTGCAATTTTGAGCAGAATATGCAACATTAGCTGTATTTCATTGATTACATTTGACAGGACTGGGTGTTTTGACCTCAGTGACACAACATTGCACACCACGGGAGTTAGTCTCCTGCTTCTAATAAAAAACAAACACACAATTATTTATTTCAACAATTTTACCAATAAATGCAAAAACACTTTCTTTACAAATTATTTGCTGAAAATTCTGAAAATATATATATATTTTTTATTATTGTTTATTATTTTGATTCTAATAATACTACAATAATGTATAATAATGTATAATAAAAATAAAAATAATAATAATAATCATTATCATTTTTAAATTATTCAACAAGGACATATTAAATTGATCAAAAATGACAGTGATAAGAATATAATGAAATATATTAATGCAAAATATTTCTATTTTAAATAAATGGTGTTCTTTTAAATAAATAAATGAAATTTTCCATTCATCAAATAATCCTGAAAATATGTATTACATTTTCCACAATTACATAAATAAATAAATAGTTAATAAATAAATAATAAATAAATAAGTAGCACAACTGTTTTCAACATTGATATAATAAATAATAATAAATAATAATAATAATAATAATAATAATAATAAATGTTTCTTGAACAGCAACATATTAGAATAAATGAATATCAACATAATTAGAATGATTTCTGAAGGATCATGTGACACTGAAAACTGGTAATGCTGCAGAAAAAAAAATCAGCTTTGCATCACAGGAATAAACAACATTTTAAAATACAGTATATTCAAATAGAAAGTTATTGTAATTCTTAATAATATTTACTATTTAATATTAGTATTTTCCTGCATATTTGATCAAATAAGTGCAGCCTTTCTGAGCAAAAAAAAAAAAAAACTTTTTTTTTTTTAACT